AAGCGGGCAAAAATCATTATGATATTCGGAATCAGCATGGTCCATTACCCCTTGTCAACTAAGTTAAAGCACAAAAGCGAGGGATCAGTCGGTGGCCTTCCCTCGTGAGAACGTTTGAGGAGAATCTAAATAGCGACCCCTTTAAATATTTTTAGTTATAGAAAGTACAAAAAACACGTTGCAATATGTGTGTGAGAACATTCATTAAATTCAGGTCATTTTTTCGTGAGCGTTTTTCTGTTTCAATTGCGCAGAAAAATGACAACTATAGAGTGATTCATACTTTTGTCTCCCACTTTACTTACCAGCTGCTCCATATCCCATTATTTGAGACGATAATGCGAGAAGAACACCCCAGGCAAAATGTGTGTCAAAGCCTTCGATAGTTTTTATATAAACCACCACATCGATGGCTGCAACTGTTTGACCGGCAATATAAATCATTACATAAATGATTGCATGCTCTTTAATAGTGAACGCACACGGATTTAATGAAATATTCCATTTCCAAATTATGAAAGGTTTGCTCGGCAGACATCTTGCTAATAGACTACCTAGTGGATATGTTAGAAGTAAAAGTACAAGATGTGGAACTGAGTATGGGTTTTTATAATAATATAAATATTGATCAAGCGATGATATGAGTGCGGTGAACAAGATACCAATTAAACAACTACGAAATGTGATAATAACCATATCGGGATTATCTTTATTTGAGACAATGCCAGCAATTTCTTCATACGATGATTGCTCAGAGTCAATATAGTTGCTTTTGACATCTGATGAAGTAATGTTCGTTGGCTCTGATTGATTATCATTCGACCGCAACTCGTCGACTTCATTCATGATTTTTTCGTTAAACTTTAGCGTAAAGATATCACAGTCTTAGCGCTAGAGCGTATTTTATTCTACTCCTTAATATTTAACATGCAATGAAAAATAGAGCTGACTTTTCTGCGCAAAAACTTTTTCTCGGAATTGAGACCATCATTAATCAAACAAAATATGTTATTTCCTTTCCTCATCAGTCATAAAGAGGTAAATAAAAATGCAAAAAACATAAACTTTTGTCATGCTCGAGCAATTAATACGCCCAACTACATACTATTTTTACATTAACTCATTTATGAAAGAAGAACATGTAGTTTACTAAATGTATCATTATCATTATGATTACTATCTTTTTTTCGACAGAAGGCAGTTGCCAGTCACGCATAAAATTTACTTTTTAATGGAACATGAAAAACAATTTAATACAACCATCAACGTAAAGAATGCTATGTGCCATCGTACTGATGAATAGGTATACGACGAACCGAACAACCAACTCGGGCAAGTTCGAATCGGACACTGTTTGATTCAATCAGAGTTTGACTCGCACATTAACCGATTCGGACATGTTCGAACAGAACATTCAAACACTGTTCGACTTTTTTCATTTCTGTTAAGTGTCTGCTTAGTGCATAAATTTGACGAGTTTTAAGTATGTTTAAATCACATCAGTGGATGAAATAATCGAAGATGCTTCGAACTCGCACGTGTCAGCAAAGCTGTTGTTATTCACTCAACTCTGATGCCGTTCA